CTTCTGGAAATTTGAGATACCATTTTTGTGTAGAGGGTATCGCAAAGGAAATGGTTAAATGTTTATTAAATTTTGTTTAATATTCGACTCCTTTAAACATCACATTTCTAAATTAAATTCATAAAATTGAAAAATTATCTTTCAAATACACTGTAAGGCCACTATTTCTGTTTGGGTTCATAGTGTGTATATGTACATATGCGTCTTCCATGTTTTTTTTTGTATATATTTATATCTATATATTCCTTGTGCGTGTGTAAACAATGCAAGATCTCTGCATTGGCAGACGATGGAAATTTGGGATGTCATTATTGACTGAAGAGCACAGTAATGAAAATGTTTCAATAAAGTTAGCAAGAAAACTGATAGGAGAAAAAAAAATCAATGTACAGACTGTTCCGAAAGTCTTGTCACATCTAAGAAAACCGTAATGAGAACAATAGAAGTATATGTAATACAGTAATACAAAACACATGTACTGGATTCAGTTTATTCACTTCCATTGACGCTGTCACATATCGAGAAGGTCTGTATGAACATCATCATTTTCCTGACACAAAATCATGCGGCTCCATGTCCTGTGTGATATTTTACGAAGCTGTGTTTTGTTGATTGTTGCAAAGCCTCTCCGAACGACGTCCTTCAACTGATAGGTATTCTGGTATCGTTCATGCGAAACTGTGGTAATTATCAGCACCATCATACATACAAATCATGCGACAAGCATTCATTGGTTAATCTCCTCAAAACTAGCTCGCTGATTGGTCAATTCCGACCAATCAGATATCCTGCACGCGAGGAATGAAATTTCCCGCTCACTAAGGTTTGAGCCAGTCACGTGATACACCACCTTATATAAATAAAACACGTGTAAGCTCTCTCTCTCTCTCTCTCTCTCTCATCTTTTCTCTTCATTCATCTTATTCCTTGCTGCCAAGATGTAATCTTCAAGAGCTCCTGTCTTGACCATGCGGTCAGACGTTAAAGAACATTACCAATTCACGCAAGTACGAACTCTTAATTCTTCTGAACTCTTACCAACTTTACCAATTCACATTTCCTAACATGCAACAGGAACTTTATTCTTCTAAAACTTCAGTTTAATAATTACTTCATATATTTCCAAATCTAAGAGACATAACTCATTCAAACCTTCAGCATGTACATCAACACTAATAAATTCAATTATTTGTTTAACCTTTGCGTTCTGTCTTGTATTTTGTACTATGTGCTATTTTACGTCAAATATAAATTGCATTGTGACCGCTACATGTTTGGTAACCTCTAGCGTCTTTGCTTGTCCTTTTCCACGTCATTTTGAGTCAAAGATAAATAGTTATGGTGATGTGCGCTACAAAAATATCTCCTTGATAATACCCTACGGAGAATTGAGGGTCGTCTTGTTCTCGGTTTGACCTTAATAGATCCTGTGAGAAACTAGTTTATGTCCTCATCGCAGTATTGTCCTTGTAGAAGACCGTGGCTGTGATGTTATTGATAGAAGTAGATGAGTACACGTGGATTAAGATTTTCCTGCTAGCCGGTCCAACTACATGTGTGTGTGAATGTTATATATATATATATATATATATATATATGTGTGTGTGTGTGTGTGTGTGTGTGTGGTGAGTGTTCGTACGTACGTGTATTGTGCTTAGCGTGTTCCCAGCATTTAGGAAACGCTTTCTCTGTGAGCGTTCACATCTGCGAGATGGTAAGGCTGAAAGCCTGAGGAAAAAAGAGAGGAAGAGGCGAAGGGTCAGCGACTATTTATAGCCAGGGAAGAGAGACCCCTGGTGAAAGGGTTAACGAAATAAAGGAGGAGTTAACTCCGACATCCTCTTCGGAGAAGCTGGTTTCCCGAATCTTGCAGTGAAGTCATGTCGAACATCCTTCATGCTCTTGCCAGAATGCACACGATCATGTGTCCATACACTTGAAGCAGCCTCTCTTCCAAACTGCAGGAGCTTGTCAGAGTTAGCGCCTCCTTAATTCCGTAATTGTCACTAGGGGCCGCTCTCCTTACACTATAAATACTGGGTGACTTCTTGCCTCGTTCTCTTTTTTACTTTTAATTTCAGCGGACACATTTAAAAATGTGATCTCTCGCAGAGATCAGCGTTTTCGCCACTTGTGGGAAAACGCCATGAAACACACATACACGTACGTACGAACATTTACCAATATACAAACTCTTTACGTTTAAACACAAACACAAATGTAAATGTCTACGTCCATTGTAAATTTTGTTGTTTAATACATAAATTTATTGATATATATATCGGTCTTGTTGGTTTTCTTTACACTTCTTTATGGTGGATTTAATCTCCGAGTCCGTCATGTTCTTGTAGTGGACCTGCTAGCAGGAATAAACGCACGTGTTTCCTAAATTAACAACACGTAAACCTACACGGTTCGCTATAAGCTCATATCAGCTGTCTGAAACAGAAAATTATATCATGTTGCGGTGACAAGACTTTCGGACCACCCTGTATAACAGTAAATTTTCTTATCTCAGAATAGCGAGTCATTCCTTATTTTATTTTTTTTTATTCTCCACAACTCTGCTTAAATATCTAAGTGTTCAGTCCGAGTAATTGCTAAACTCAGCCGATAGATCTTCATAGATTTTTACACAAAGAAAAGCAGCATAAGATCGGTTTTTCAAAGATTGATACATCATCGTAATGTAGATACTATTTTTGAATTTGTGCTTTGGAAGATTTCTATTCCGTGGGCAAAATGATAGCCTCTTATTTTGTGAACTGTCTAGCCATTACGTTATTCACTAACCGTTGACATTCTCAAATGTCTACTTTCTCTGATATTTTAATGCGCTATGGTCAGCAGAAAAAAAATTCTGATGTTCCTTCGGAAAATGAGCGTATTAGATCCAGTTGTAGAGAACGGTACAAAGTCAAATCAAAATTTCTTTTTCCACACCTTATTTAACAACACACATGGGTACAATATATAGGCTGGCTCAAGATCCCAAGAGAAATACAGGATGATTACTGTGAAAAATAAGCTTATGGCTACATCGCATTGAAACATCTTTTTCTAGTACTATAAACATTAAGCAATGTCGAGCCTGGTTACTACCTTGATGGCTGACCGCTTGGGAATACCAGAGCCTGTAGGCTTGGATGTGCGGGTGGTGTAATGAATAATGGCTCCGAATTATTAACCAGAGAGCAGAGTTCTAATTCCAGTTGGGTTCGTTATATTCATTTATGTGTAAAGTATCCTTGGGGAAGGTATGAATCCAGCTCTTTCCCCTCCAGCAATGGGTTAATTAGTAATACTTGCATCGCTAAACCATTACTATCCCCCCTCCGAAAAAAAAAATCTTAAAATCTAAAAATATTTTCTGGTTTTAAATAATCTACAAAGGGTTGGTAAGCCGTAAAAAACAAATGAATTAAGTCATATTGTAAAAATAGAGTTTCAAAATTTTATTAGATAAAAACTTTTTAGCATACTGACACAACAATAACATATAAAAAGCTGCTTGTGTACACACACAGACACGTACACACACATATTTATATACTAGCTTAAAAGCCGCTTTATCGTAGATGTGATAGGCTACAATAAACCAGAGAAGAACTCAAAATCGATTGCTGCATTTAAGTATTGCATTAATATTTAAGCTTACCTTTTAAAAGATAATTCTTCTATCGCTACTTAATTTAAACACAATTTGATGTACGTAGGTCTTTACTTTCCGTACAAAGAATTCATTTTATTTCATGTGTGACTTTTGCTGGATTTCGCAATTAATTTCAATTATTCCCAAATTTATTTCCAAGTTATAAAAAGTTTTATCATGCAAAAAAAAAAAAAAAAAATAATAGTCGCAATAAATCACGAAAAAAAAAAAAAGAAAATCGATGAAAACAATGGCAGTAATGAAAACTTGGGAATCCAAAATTTCAGGATTGTGGGTCCGGATCCGAACTTAATGTGTTTAATTTCCTCAAAGAGTCGGCCTGATTCCAAAATGGTATGAGATGTTGGGCTACGGATTCTAGAAGTAAAGTTGAAAATACGGACAATTCTATTTTGAACCACTGTAATCTGAGAACAGTATTTTTTTCATTTGAACATAAGCTATTAAAAGTTAGAGAGTTGTGTCCCTTTAACTGTTTTTATCAGTAGAAGCCAAGATGGTGGAATCCGAAAACAATCGCAGTATTGGAAATTTGGAAAAATTTCGGCCCGGAATGTTTTTAATTTGCTCATGGAGTTGGCCTTATTCTAAAATGGTATGATATGTTAGACTACGGCCTCTAGGAATAAAGGTTTAAAAGTGTGACATAGTGACACACTGACATTTGTATTTATTGTAAATCACTAGTGGGACTTAAATGCCACTTAAGATTATCGCACAAAATTTCATAACTGAATCAATAAGCTGTCAGATCCTCGTACGTCGAAACCGATGGGAGAGTCTATTATATATAGTTATCCACAGACAGACTGTATCACAGCTCATCAGTGTGACTGGGCATACGACTGCTTCAAGTTGGGGTTGAAACCCGACTGATTTGACATCAGACTGAAGTCTCTCAACCTTAGGCTATCAGCGCACGCAGCGGAGAAAGGGAATTTTTTAACGCATTATATACGAGATATAAGCATTACTGGTTGCCAGAGTGCTCAATTCATAGCGAAGGGCTTTTAGTGTTAATTAGTAGCAGCCAACAAATCACCTTTCTTCCAAAGTGATCAACCTACGAGAGGGGGCATATATATATATATATATATATATATATATATATATAATTGTGTATATGGGCAGAGCAATCCCTCTTTTATACAAGTTTCATTAAAAACGATCGGCAATGTACTGCGGTTAAATTGCTTGTTTTGAACATGATTTGTCGTATAACAAGTTTTTTTTATGAATGTTACACTGTTACTTATCTTGTTTTATGGCAAATTTAACCGCAGCACCTTGTCGATCGTTTTTTAACGAAACTTTTATATATATAGGCATACGACCATATCAAGATGAAACGTCAGTTCTCGTCCAACCACCAAAGTTAAGCAACATCAAGCCTGGTCAGTACTTAGATGAGTGACCACTTGAGAATCCCAAGCGCTGTAAGCTTGGACGTGTGTGTGGTGTAATGGATAGCAGCTCAGAATAAGAAATCGGACAGCCGAGTTCGAAATACAATTGAGTTCATTACATTCACGTATGTGCAAATACCCCCACCACACCCCGGGAAAGGTATAAATCCACCTTTTCTCCCTCCAGTTATTTTGTGAGATAAAACAATAAAAATGATAATGATATTGTTAATAAGACTAATAATATTTGTTTTTATTAGTAAGCCTTTTGACTGAATAGAAGCACACTGAGAGGATTTTTAAAGTCGGAATTTTCGGACACGCCTGTGACCCTTATCAACGAGACAAGAAATAAACAATGAAGAAAAAGAGAGGAAAATTAAAAAGGAAATAAAAGCAATTATAAAACCGAATGAAAGTCGGAGAAAAGAAAAGAAAAGAAAAAGGCAGCTAAATTTGATATAAGCAAAGAATAAAGATTGTTCAAGAAAAACAAAAAAAAAAAATGCCTGAATCGTCAGAAAAAAGAAAATGACAAGTTCAGAAATTAAGCAGAATTTCATTTTACAGATAGTTTTTGCATAAAAGCTATTGGTGAAGGTGAAAGTGAAAGTAACATTTTTTATTTCGATTTCATTGCCCTTACTGATTAGCTTTAATTGTTTTCTATGTTCCAGTTCGAAAATATTTTATTGATTTTCTCTGCAAAGAAAAAGAAAGTGTTCCTATTATGGGAAATTGCGAATATTTCATGACGAATATTTCAGACATTTTGTGTGTTGATACAGGGCATTCCACAATTCATCAAGTATATCAAACTCAAAATGAGTTGTTTGTGTATACCTGAAACCTTGAACATTAATTAAAACCGTAACATCAAATGAATGTGATTTGTTAATTATCTGTAAGCCCACCTCAAACGAAATATGGCTGAGTTTAGATTAGGAGTTCCACGCGTACACAGGACCAGAGGCCAAAAATAGTCCCGACCGCTCGGCATTTCCTCTTTGGTGACATCAGTTATCGTATGATCATCGAAGTTAAGCAACGTTGAGCTTGGTCAGTTTCTAGATGGGTGACTGCTTGTGAATGCCAGGTGCTGTAAGCTTAGATGTGCGGGTGGTGTAATGGATAACAGATGGAAATTGGAAATCGAGCTGTGTTCCAGTTCCAGTCGGGTTCGTTATATTCACTTACGCGCAAATACCGCTGGGAAAGACATGCATCAATCTCTTCTCTCCCCAGATATGGATTAATTAGTAGAATTTTCATCGATAAATCTCCAAAAATTCTTACAATCCAAAAACATTTTCTGGCTTTAAATAACCCGCAAAAGATCGATAAAAGTACTACTTAGAGTGGGATGGACATCGTGGAGCTTATACCATTAATAATAATAATAATAATGATAGTAATAATAATAATAATCATACATAAGAATTACAGTTTTGGATTTATTTGATTTTATTCATTTTGACGTGTTGATTACCACTACAACCGTTTTACTCAAGACAAGCGACGTTTGTACAAAGATATGTATTTTTAAGAATATTTTTGAAACGAGTATGCAATTTTTAAACATAAGATAATATTGAAATAGTGTTAAACACTTTGTCTTTTCTTAAATCGCGCTCTTCTCTAAGTGTTGCAAAATCTTGGAAGAGTTATGTCAATAATTAATAATAATAATAATAACAGACCTACATAAAAAATACAGTTTGCGATTTATTTGTACGCCCCCTTGAACGGGATATTGCACAAAACCGAGTTTAAAGTAGCCGCCTCATACGCATATGGGATCAGAGGCCTAAAATAGTCCAATCTCCTCGGAGACATAGCAGGTGCCAGAGATTAACCATATCCCCCCCACTTTAGGAGAAGTATTGTTTGGGAGGATGACCTCTTGAATTGAACTTATGATTACAAATTGCATAAGAAATGCTGTTTCATTATTTATATCTAGCAACATGTATCTTATATCTTGTCCAACTTTGCGGTTCTTGCTTAATGTAGCTAAGTTATACACATAATATTATTTTCTAATGTATATTAGATCACAGTAGCAAGTATTAAGCAATATATAAATGGAAAGTAATCAATGCTAATCATATATATAAAGTACAGTGTATATGTGTGTTTGTGCGTGTGTCCAAGCAACACTTCTGCTCCCACTGGTCCGATTTCAATGATTCATAGCTCATCCAAAAGCCATAGAAAAGTTAGGAGCAGGGAACGATTTTTGCTGAGCTCAGATTCAGGGTTGCCAGATTATGCGTGGTTAAAAATATATATTAATATATTATACTAGCCATTATCGTCGGTTTCATGAGTAACTCTTATTTTCCTTTTGTATCCAAAATTGCAGTGTACGTTTGATTATAAACTTAGCTCCTGTGGGGGACTCTTGGTTTGGCCATCATCACAATAGCTAGGGAGGAGTAGATGCGATAGGCATCGATAAAGTACAGAAGAACTCAAAATTGATCGCTGCATTTAAGTATAGAATTTAAGCTTACTTTTTAAAAGTTCAACAACAATTCTTTGATGTACGTAGAACTTTATTTTCCGTACAAACAATTATTTTTATTTCATGGGTGACAGAACAGGGAACAATTTATAATAAAATTATTATAGTGTAAAGATGGGAAAATAGAAATTAGAATTAGTTATACATTCAACATTTGAAGAGTTAGAGAAATATAATAGCTAATTAATAATATTAGATTTTACTTTTTATTTTGAGTTCTGTAGTTTATTGATGCTTATCGCATCTACTCCTCCCTAGCTATTGTGACGATGGCCAAACCAAGAGTCCTCCACAGGAGCTAGCTTAAATGCCGCCCTATAGGGTGGCTTTTAAGCTAGTATTTTTAATAATACATATAGATACATTACTTAATATGAGCTTTTTAGTAATGTTTTTATTTAAAGAAAAAAAAGAAACATTTTATCGTTAAAAACATCTATAAACATTCGATTTCTATCAGGTCTACTATTACTTCATTACCTCTACACGAACAGATGAATTAAATGATTTAAAAAAATGTCATGTCCCTTCAGGACGTAGTTCAGATTCCTTTTCTTTAGTATCAGTGAATTGTCATGCTTTCTTGGGAAAGATAGTGGTTTCCAGTTTTCTTCTCATCGGTTTGAATTCAGGGTTTTCTTTCTCTTAGACTGGTTGCCATCCAAGGCTAGAGAGTTCATTCTGACTTGCTATTTAACGCATAATTGGCGAGAGAATAAATGGATTCGCGCCTTTCCTAATGACACGTGCGAAAGGGGACGCATCTGGTTGGGCCGTGATTTGAACATTTTTAGATTCCGCACTGATAACCGTCACGCAACCAACACATCCTATTAAACGACTCCCAAGAGGTTTAAACGTTTTACAACTGCTTTAATTACAACGATTTCAGTAACACGTTTTTTATATTGCATACGGAACACAAAAAAAAAAAAATGGCTCTGTAACGCAACAAAGCAAATGTTAGGTATCCTTACAAGTTCATGATTAGAAAAATTTAAGTATAGTCTGCCTTAAGCAATTCTACATTATATAAAATCAATACAAAAATGATTCTGTCTTGTTCTTAAGCTTAATGTATGTGTGGTACGTGATGGGATATATAAACAGGTTAGGTTAGATTAGTCATTGTAATGACATCTCAATACTTGTTGGTTTGTTTAATGTCGGATACGATTCTCATAGGACATAAACCCCATACCAATGAATTATTGAAAAGGTAGACAGAATTTAGGTTTACACTACAGAGAAAAAATACAGCACAATTTTATTTTTACAATCGAGTCAAAAAGATAGATGTTGGTCCAGTTTATATTTGATTAAAAAAGATTGATAAATGGTCCAATTTGCAATCGAGTCAAATAGATAGGTGTTGGGTCAGTTTATATTTGATTAAAGAAGAATGATAAATGGTCCAATTTACAGTCGAGTCAAGAGGATGAATATTGGTCCGGTTTATAATTGATGAAAAAAGATTGATAAATGGTCCAATTTACAGTCGAGTCAAGAAGATGAATATTGGTCCGGTTTATAATTGATTAAAAAAGATTGATAAATGGTCCAATTTACAGTCGAATCAAGAGGATGAATATTGGTCCGGTTTATAATTGATTAAAAAAGATAGATAAATGGTCCAATTTACAGTCGAATCAAGAGGATGAATATTGGTCCAGTTTATAATTGATTAAAAAAGATTGATAAATGGTCCAATTTACAGTTGAATCAAGAGGATGAATATTGGTCCAGTTTATAATTGATTAAAAAAGATTGATAAATGGTCCAATTTATAGTCGAGTCAAGAGGATGAATATTGGTCCGGTTTATAATTGATTAAAAAAGATTGATAAATGGTCCAATTTACAGTCGAATCAAGAGGATGAATATTGGTCCAGTTTATAATTGATTAAAAAAGATTGATAAATGGTCCAATTTATAGCCGAGTCAAGAGGATGAATATTGGTCCGGTTTATAATTGATTAAAAAAGATAGATAAATGGTCCAATTTACAGTCGAATCAAGAGGATGAATATTGGTCCAGTTTATAATTGATTAAAAAAGATTGATAAATGGTCCAATTTACAGTCGATTCAAGAGGATGAATATTGGTCCAGTTTATAATTGATTCAAAAAGGTTGACATATCTCCAGTTTACAGTAGATTCAAGAAGATTGACATGTCCCCGATTTACAGTAAAAAGGCTTGATAGAGCTCCGGTTTATAATAGATTCAAAGATGTTGACATAGCTTCGATGTACAATAGAGTCAAAATGGTTGACACATCTCCAGTTTACAGTTGAGTGAAAAAGGTTGCCATATCTGTGGTTTACAATAGATTAAAAAAAAGATAACACATCTCCACTTTACAGTAGAATGAAAAAGGTTGACACATCTGCTGTTTACAATAGAGTCAAAAAGGTGGATATATATCCAGTTTACATTAAACTCAAAAAGATTGACATATCCCCAATTTACAGTAGAGTAAAAATAAAGTGTTGATGTAGCTCCGTT